CGGGTTATTCATTCGCAAACAGTTATTATATAACAGGTACCACGTGTGAAGTCCTTCCTGTGCCAGGCACTGTACTAGGTGATAACAGCAATAATAATAAAAGAATATAATTTTATAATAATAAATTTATCAATAATAATATATCGAAAGAGTATATATTGTTAATATATAAGGTGTAAAAATAACAAATAAGAACAAAAACGTTATTATTTGACAGCTTACCTTGTGCCAAGTCCTGGGCTAAGTGCTTTATGTATTTTTTCTCAATCCTTCCAATAATCTTGGATTATTATCCCCATTGATATAGCCTGAGGTTCTGAAGGGTAGTGATTTGCCCCAGACTCCATAGCTGGTAGTGGCTGAGCCAGATTTGAAGCCAGGTCTGTCTGACCCCAACACCCCTGCTCCTAAATCACTCTACAGCGTTGCCTCCCCTGTTCTGAATCAGGGACTTTGCGAGGCCCTGAAGGGGGTTCAATAATAAAGGAACATAATCCTGATCCTAACGAAATCAGGATAGAACAGAGCGGTCAGACATGCTATCTGCTGCAGCCGAGGGAAGAGGGGCAGATAGGGAGCCCAAGGTAGGAATAATTCATTCTTCCCAGCGTTGGTGAGGAAGGCTGCATGGAGGTGGTGACATCTGACTTGTTCTTCAGGGATGGGCAGGAGTTCTTCAAGGCGAGAAGGGACATGCTGGATTGTGGGAGCAGCACGTGCAGAGGCACGGAAGCTGGCAGCTCTCGACACCTTCCGGAACAGGCCGGCCAGCCTGGATGAAGTGTGTAGGCATGGTGGGAAACGCGCGTGGTGGGAAACCTTGTCTGTGATGAGCTAAGCTGGTGGTTTCAAAATGTTGACCACACCCCACAGTAAAAAATAACAATAACAAATAACACACTTGGTATGCTTGCATGTAATTAAGTTTCGTGAAACCTCACTTACTCTTTCTATAGGCAGTAACTCTATTTTCTCTTTTTTAAAAAACAAACAAAAAAAACCCAAAAGGCTAGTCATAATCCACTAATTTGATTTCACTACCCACTAATGTGGCTGTACCCACCATGCGAAAAACTCAGGGGTAAGGCATCTGAACCCAGGGGTAGGCACTAGTAAGCCCAGAAGACTCTCGAAAAGGGAGAAATGTGATCAAATGTGTACTTTTGATATGAACCTTGGCAGCAGGGTAGAGGAAGAGGGGAAAGACATGGAGGCAGGACACGGCACGCCCTCTGCACGCCCCCACCCCACTGTCACGGACACACACACACACACACACACACACACTCTCACAGCACACCCTTGGGCTACAGCGAGGGCAGAGCCAAGCACGATCAGCACGAGGGCAGTGGGGCGGAGGCCGACGGAACACCCTCCCGCCCGGCACTCACGGTTGCAGCTTTTGCCATCTGCCTGCAGTTGCTGGCCCTCAGGGCACAGGCAGCGGTAAGAGAGGCCCTCACTCACACACTGGAACTCACATCCGTGGTCTACACCATTGCAAAGGTCCCGGGCTTAGAGGAGAGACAGATCAGGATGAGTCAGGGTGGACTCCACCAGCCAAGATTCCTTGCCCCTCGACACAAACACAAGAGAGCCCTCCTCACCCTGACAGCTCCTCCCGTCGGGCAGCAGGTCGTGGCCCTCTCTGCAGTGGCACCGGGGCCCACGAAAGGTGCTAACACACTCGTGCTGGCAGCTGTGGTTCCCAAAGCTGCAGTGGTCAATGGCTGGTGGGAGGGAAGAGAGAGCAAGGTGTCATCTCTGATCGGAGCCATCAGGGACCTCAGTCCAGGAGGCGGGTGGTGGGGCTCACTCACCCCTGCAGCTTCTCTGGTCCTGCTGGAGTACAAAGCCAGCTCGGCAGCGGCAGGAATAGGAGCCTGGGGAGCTGATGCAGTGGTGCTCACAGCCGTGGGTCCCTTCAGCGCACAGGTCGATGGCTGAGGAAGAGGTGAGCTCAGCATCTGCCCTGGGCCTGCACTTCTCAGCCCTGACAGAACAATCATCTGAGGAGCTTTTTAAAAAAGACCTACGCCTGGGCCGCAACCCCCAAAGATCCTGACCTAATTAGCCCGGGGTGGTCCCCAGGCATCTGTGATTTCTATAAGCACAGGTCACCTTCCTAGTGGGCCAAGTGGCTCCCCCAACTCAAGGCCCAGCTGCAGCCCAGCGTGCCCACTACTAAGCCAGGCATAAGAACAAGAATCCACAAGTGTAGAAGAGCCCCTGCTCTCAAGATGGTCACTGACTCACAGAGGAGGACCAGGTTCTGCCACTTTACCTATCTGAGCCTCCATTTCCCCATCCACAAAATGGGAATATAACGGAAGAATGCAACTGCTATTTCTAACTTCCTTCTAAAGAGGGTGAACTATTTCCTGCTGAGTATCTTGATGGTTTCAATGTACAAAGACAGCCAGAGCTGAGCTGGGAAGTAGGGACTGGAGAGGTGTAGATTGCCCTGTACAAAAGAGTGAGAACTTGGGGTTCCTAGAAAGGAGATGGGAGTGAAGAACAAGAGAGATGATGTGAGCACGGGTACCTGTGTGGGCTGAAGTTGCCCATGAAAAATCACCTGTAATGGAGTGACAGAGGACTTTGAGGATCAATGGTGTCTAATATTCAATTATAATCAATAGGTGTTTCTTTTGTGTGTGTATGTTTGACTTTACTTAAATGTGATGCACACTCGGGGCGCCTGAGTGGCTCAGTCGGTTAAGCGTCCGACTTCAGCTCAGGTCATGATCTCACAGTTCGTGAGTTCGAGCCCCACATCGGGCTCTGTGCTGACAGCTTAGAGACTGGAGTCTGCTTCGAATTCTGTGTCTCTGTCTCTCTCTGTTCCCCCCCCCCCACTCATGCTCTGTCTCTCTCTCTCTCCTTCAAAAACAAATAAAAACATTAAAAAAGAATTTCAAATGTGATGCACACTCTGTTCACCCCCATCTTTAGTAAAACAGATATATGCACCACTTACATAGACACACACATGGCCTTGTGCACACAAGCGTGTAAACCAAGGAAGAGGCTGATTTACATACACGGAGGAATAGCATGTGCAAGTTGAGAAATTGAGCGAGGACCCATAAGTTGAATGAATTCAGCAGAAGCTCAGAGCAAGAGGTGACCGCAGAAGGTAAGCACTTGGGGAATCCCCAGAGGTCTTGGGGAAAGATTCAAATGGCTTCAAGCCAGCCTCTTCTAAGTTCTAGAAACAAGAAGACCCCAGCTGACATCTGCATTGTTGGAAACACAGGACTTCTTTTCCCCAGTTGTTATGAGGTTGAGAGATAATGTATGTGAACGTTGAAGTGCACCGTCTAATACTAAATCGGCACTCGGTGAGTGGTAGCTGCCATCATGTTCAAAGGAGTGGACACACATACACGCGAAAAAGCAAACCCCAATTGTATAAGGAAGGCATAGTGTGGCATACCTTTTCAGAAGACAAAAATGAAGAACCAGGCCTTGAAGGATTTGCAGGTGCAGAGAGAAGCAGCAAGGGCAGCCCAGAAAGAGCTGAGATGCAGAAGCAAGAATGCCCCCCACCACATATCGGGGGGTAGGGGTATGGAGACCCTAACTGAAGACCCCAAAAGTGAGTGTCTGCATAACAGAAACAGTAAGAAGATGTGCATGGGAGCATTCACAAACAAGTTTGGGAGGTGTATCGGAGCCAGGGAGGAGGCAAGCCTGAAATAAGGGAGAGAATGATGTAGAAACCACACTTAACTATGGGGTCAAGATTTCACCAAGGAATTGTGTGACCGCAGGCAATAGCTTCCCTTTTTTAGACCCGTAAAGGTGCTGAACCTTTACTTCCAAAGGCCTTTCCAGACTCACTGGTCTGATGCTGGGGCAATAGGGAGCCACAGAAGATTCAGGAGCAGTGAGACTGCAAAGGCAGGGGCAGCTCTCACCCAAACAGCTCTTGTTATCTGCAGCTAGCTGGTAGCCAGGGTTGCAGGCACAGTGGAACGTGCCCGGGGCGCTGACACATTGATGCTGGCAGCCGTGTCCCCCCTCAACACACAGGTCCTTTCCTGAGGACACACAAGTATAGAATCAGCGAGGGACAGATGGGAAGAACCCTCCAACAAGAAAAAAACTGGGTGGGGTCAGAGGCAGGCACCAAGTTCAAGTACGGCTTTTGATGGGACCAACCTCAGGTGAGAGGGAGGATCTAGATGGGAGGGCTTGGGGAAAGAAAGCGCCTGAGTAGTCACTATGAATAATCTCAGAACAGGAGGTCACCACCGGGCTACATGTGTCAATGGGATGGGGCAGGACTGCAGAGGGGTAAGGTAGAGGAGGTGGAGAGGTGTTAAATCAAGGTGGGTGGAATAATTCAAGGTGCAGAATAGATGGGCAGCATTGTGGGAGGAACTAAACAGAGTAGGCGGAGCCATGCCCATGTGGGCGGGGCATGACAGTTTCCGGGTGGGCGATTGCTCTCAGCTGTGACAGGCGGTGCTTCTTGTGTCGAGAGGGGATTTTGGAGTTTGACCTCAGACCAGTGGTAAACCACAACAGCTCATCGGGTGAGCAGGCATGCTAAATGTTGCTCCTTGTGGGCTAAGCCTAAGCAAAAGTGGGCAGACCTGGAATGTGAGAACCTGCGGCAACCCAGCGTCACTTAGCTATCTGGTGGGCGGGGCTGAAGCTAGAGTGGGCGGTGCCTCCCGGGACCAGCCGGTATTTGCTCGAGGAGAAATCGTTCCAGAGCTCCCCTAACTCACCACACAGCCGACCCTGGAACTGTAGGCCAAACTCCTGGATAAGATCGAAGGACTCAACGAGGAAAACATGCTCGTCCAGCGGGGGAGACGCCATGGCGCGCAGGGAGCCCACGTCGGCGCGCTGCACCCCCACGGCGTAGATCTCGATGCCGCGGGCGCGCGCCTGAGCCGCCACCTCAGCCACGCGATCCTGGGGTCGCCCGTCGGTCACAATGACAGCGATGCGCGGCACGCGCGCCTCCGGCGGGCGCGCGCCCTCGGCCACGCTGAAAGCCACGTTCATGGCGTACTGGATCGCCAGCCCGGTCATGGTGCCCTGAGCCAGCGGCACCAGCGCGCGAATGGCGCGCTCCATATCCTCGCGGCGCGAGAAGGCGCCGAGCCGGAAGACGCTCTGCACTTGACTCGAGTACTGGATCACTCCGACGCGCGTAGCGTTGGGCCCCACGTCCAGGCCGCGGAGGAGGCCCACCAGGAACTGCCGCATGGTTTCGAACTCAAAGGGGCGCACGCTGCGCGAGCTGTCAATCACGAACACCAAATCCAGGGGCCCCGTTCGACACCTGGGACCTTCGAGGAGATCGGGAAGGACTTTCCTAGGTCTGCAAAACCTCATCTCGGAGGAGATCCCCAGGGAAACCCAAGGCGAAATGGTGCTTTTCCGGCGTAACAGCGCGTAGCGCAGAATTAACCTAGCAAATGCGAGCTAGATATCTCCACTCATCCAGCATTTGCTAAGGCCAGATTTCACCAATTCTCTATCCTACGGCTCTTAGAGCTATTCTGAGGAGGCATTCCCCATTCGGGAGTGGGCGAAGGGATGGCGCAAACTCAAACGACTACAGAGACCGGGCAGGCAACATGAATGAGTGAACTTGGGTTACGCTGACCGACACCCATATCCCTCCCCCAGCCAAATGTTGCCACGCGGACGCCATGTTAACAGATCCTTGGGTTTTTCAAGGGAGGTCCCAAAGCAGAATTGTTACGTGAAGTCTCCTGATTTTTCAGTTCACTTTTAAAAATTAAACGCCAAATGGGCACTTCTGCATGTTACCGCCAACTTTGCTACCTCTAAGCCACATCCTACAGATAAGGAAACTGAGTCCCAGAGAGGCGAAGCTGTGAACTAGATAGAACCTAGCCCGTTATGATTTCAGAGCCTTTGTTTTTTCTCTCCCCAGCAGACCTAGCTGGCTGCAGACCGAGAACCAGCTTTTGTTCCCTTCCCCCTGCTGGTGAGGGCTGAGCCTTGCTCACCTGCGAACTGGAGCTGGCTTTCCCAGGGCTGGAGAAGCAGCAGCAACATAGGCAGTGGCGAGCATAGAAGGCCCCTCATGGTGCTTGGGGGACAGAGAAGGGAAGTGCCAGAGCCTGGAGGGTGCAAGGAAAATAGCAACGCGGTAATAGTTACAGAGCTCGTACTCTGGGTGATGGGCACTTGGAGCGGGGGAAGGATCATGGATTTACTTTACTAATGTCTCTACCTTTGTGTGTGTTTGAAAATTTTCGTAATAAAAAAAATTGCAGTACAGTGCGGGGAAACACAGGGAATCCTACTTTGCAGAATTGCAGAGTAGTATTTAGATAAACAGAAAGCAGATTTAAAAACATATCATTTGAAAATAAAATGCCCCTCGAAAAGAAAACATCCACAAAAATAAGTGAAAAAAAAAAAAGGCCTTTCTAAACGCCAAGCACAGTGTTAAATGTTCTTCATGCATTGGGACGTTTAATCTCGGCAATTCTATGAGGCTAAAACTGTTACTCTTCCCATCGTACGGATGAGGAAACCGTCTCAGAAAAGAGAAGCGCCGGTGCCCAAAGTCACTCGGCAAGAAAGTGGCTCGCCAGGACACAGTCCTACGCCTAAGTGGTTCCAAAGACCAGCGACGCGTTCCGCGGCCTCTCCTGCCGGGAGAACCTCTGCAAGAACAAAGCCGTCATTCCCCACCCTGGCCCCCTCCCTCCCCACACAAGGCGCTTCTGTGTGGCTGTCCTTCCAACACACACGTACGCATGCGCGCACACACCCAGACATGCAGGGCCCAGCCTCTGGCCCCTGGGGAGAGCCGCACCCTTTCACCCGGTGGGGGGTAGGGACCCGCAGCGCGACCGCCAAAACGCGCTACGCAGGCTTGGAGCCTGCACTTCCCGCCTGCCCTCAGGAGACACCGCCAGGGGGCGTCTTCCCGAATCTGGCTGCGTTGGTTAGGTGGCCGTGGGAAGACCACATCTGCCCCGCAGGTGCCCCTGCCCAGAGCAAACAGTGGCCGAGAGCCCCGAGGCCTTGGAGATAAGCCCGGGTCAGGATATATCCGACACCAGGGCCAAGAAGCAGGGGAGCGCAGGGTTCCTGGGACAGCGGCATTGGATGCGCCCGGAAGGCGGTGAGTGAGGCCCCAGCGCGCCCATGGACCCTGTACCGGCAGCAGGTGAGCGCTCACTCTTCCACCGCCCTTGACGACGCCCCTTGATAATCCCGAAGGGTTCCCGTTGTACAGATGGGGAAATTGAGGCCCAGGAAGGCTGCCCGCTGAGCTGCAAAGGAACCTGGGACTCCTGGTTCCCGTTCTCCTTTCTGGGCTGCCTGGCTGCCTAGCAACCTGGCGCCGAGGAGTCACTAAACCTCTTTTCCTTCCATTCACTCCCCCTACTCTATACCCTGCCCCCGACGCCCCATGCTGAAGCTGCGTTAGCCATTTTTCTGTTGCTTGTTTCCTGGCAGAGGGGGCCAGCTGCCCTAACCCAACCGCAGCCCCTCTGGCCCCCTCCCCCAATTCCGTGAATGGGCCTATTCTGAGCAAGGTCGGGTGCGTGCAGCTCACTCCAGGCCGCCTTCCCGGCCCGGATCCTCTCTGCCTTCGCTTTCCAGGCCTGCTAGAAGAACAAAAATCCCTCTGGCAGCGCCCGTCGTGGGAGGTTGACTAAGCCAGATGTGCCAGTTGCCGCTGCAAACGGGAGGGTGCAGAATGCCTTCTCTAGCTTGGGCCATAGCCAGGGCCACCTCTGCGGAGCATGGGGGGAGGGAGGGAAGAAACAAGGGGCCCTTGCCACCTCCCATTCTTTCCCACCTGCAGAAGCCTCTGGGCCCCCTAAGATCCCCCTTATCCTGCTCTTGGCCTGAGCCAACATCTCCCCCGGCACCCCCTTCCCCCTGCCCAGTAATCCTAGAAAGTCAAAACATCGACTGCCTCGAAGTGCATCACCTTCCCAACCCTCTTATTCTACAGAGGGAGAAACCAGGTCCAGAGGCTAGTGTCTTGCCCTAAGTCACACAGCAACGTGGTGACAGGTCTGATACTAGAACCCCGAGCTCCTCTGAGGGGTTAATCCTCCCGTTAAAAGATTCGGAAATGCCTTAGGGTGGGGAGACTGGGCTCAAAAGGAAGGAGAGGTCTGCAAATAACTCCTCAAGAATTGGCTGATGAATAAATACCTGGGGACATTCCTGGCGGTTCCTCGAGGGAGGAGATTAGGAGGCAAGCAACCCCCCCCCCCTTTGGTGGCCTTGGAGGTCAACTTGGAAAAGGAATCACAGAAGTGGAGTATGGGAGCACCTGCAGGTCAGATGGGGGCAAAATCGTGTGGGCGGTGCGGCGGCGGTTAGACGCGGTCGTCTGGCCTGACTTGACGCCTGCTCCCCTGCAAACCCCTCCGCGCCCCCAGGCCCTTTGACTCACCTGAGCCCTCCGCACAGCTCGGAGGCGCGGCCGCCGAGCGGAGCCGATGGGGCGGGAGCCTCCCGGGCAGCTGGACCAGGTAACGGCGCAGGCAGCGCGCCCGAGGTGGGGATCACGCCAGGCGGAGCCGATGGTGGCGGGGCGGGGCCGGTTTAACCGGGGGCAGGCGGTGGGGAGGGGGAGCGCGGGCTGCGACCCCTCCCACCGGCCGGGAGCGATCCCCTTTCCTCGGCGGGCTGGCGGGCCAGCGCGGCGGCGCCCCTGCTCCCTGCCGCCCTCCGGAGCCGCCGGCGCGAGCTGCGGGCCGGAATTGCCCCGGCGGAGGCTGGCGGTCTGCTCGCCGCCAGTGGATGCCTGAGGCCCTTCCCGAGGAGAGTCTCCCGAAAGGGCCTGGCTCGGCCGGGCTCTTGCCCTCCGCTGCCCCCTCCAGGAGGAGAGGTCTGGGACCTGGTCCCAGACGGGCAAGCGGTTCAGAAGGGTAGCCGCAGGGCCTCTGATCTCTCCCAGGCCCCACCTGGGAGGCCCCTCAAATCTCTGCCGTCCTGACCTCCCTGCCGCGTTCTGCACTCCTGTCTGGGCTCCCACCCTCCCTCGTCAAAAACTGAGGCTGACAAGGCCAGGCCCCTAGGTTTGATTGGCCCACTCCTGATTCTGGAGGCCCCAAATCAAGGGGAAGGAAAGTTAGACAGTTAACAGGTTCCTTCTCTGGGAGAAAGGGGGTGAGGAGGGTTGCTTGACCCTGAAGACCTGCAAATGTCTTTAGGATCCCGGGGACACTGTTTTGGGTGTTTACAGGTTTGGGGCAGGTAAGAGGAGCGCCTCTGGTCCAGCGGCAAAGCCTGCCCCAGCATCCAGATTTCGCCGGGGTGGGTCCCCTCAAAGTGTAAGGGAAATCATAAAATTCTCACATGCTCTGTCTCTGTCCTGGGATCTGCACAAGTGTGGCCTTTGTGCCGCTGGGGCCTCTCCCCCAGTGCTTCAGGCTGTGATGGGCATGGTCAGACCTGCAGAGTGGTGCCTGGGCGGTCCTGTGGGGCTCCCTTCAGGCCTCATTGAGTATGGGCAGCTCCAAATATTTAACCCACAATCCTAAACCCGGAATCCCCTCTACCAATGCTTTCCATCCCTGACCCCCCCATGAATTTCACTTGCTGGGCTCCAGGTTACCTTCTCCTTAACTACTATTCCTGCCCAGTTGCCAGCCTGCACCCCGGTTACCCCCCAGAGCATGTCACGGTTCCTGAGGGAAGTATGTATGCCAAAGCCTCAGCAACAGTGAGCAGACTGCGTGGATCCTGCATGCTGCTATGGCTTCAAAAAATCATATGGAAATGAGAGAAGCTTTAGGTGTCAAGCTGGCCCCTTGGAGGTCCCTGCAGCCACCTTCTGCTCTGTGCTTGCCTTGTCTTTTATTTATTGTATTTTTTATTTTTGTTTTATTAAGGCAATTTTTTTTAATTTTTTTTGAGAGAGAGAGAGACAGAGAGAGCACGCACAAGCAAGTGGGGACAGGGCAGAGAGAGAGAGGGAGAAAGAATCTCAAGCAGGTTCTGTGCTGACAGCCAGGGGGCTCCATCTCAGGAACCGTGAGATCATGACCTGAGCTGAGATCAAGAGTTGGACACTTAACCTAACTCTGAGCTACCCAGGCTTCCCCAGTTCAGTGTCTTTTAAATTTTTTTTCTTTTTAATGTTTATTTATGAGACAGAGAGACACAGAGCGCTAGTGGGGGAGGGGCAAAGAGAGAGGAAGACACAGAATCTGAAACAGGCTCCAGGATCTGAGCTGTCAGAACAAAACCCTCGGCGTGCAGGCTCAACCCACAAATCACAGATCATGACCTGAGCCGAAGCCAGACGCCAAAGTCAGACGCTCAACTGACTGAGCCACCCAGGCACCCCACCAGTTCAGTGTCTTTTAGAACCTGGGGAGGACACAGAGCTCGACTATTGGCCCATCAGGAGCCTTTTCCCTCTGCCCCCACTGGCCTCCACTTTGGTGTATAATAGAACCTCCTTGTGAATCTACAGTATCCCCATTCACTCATCATCCACCCATTCATTCCTTCTTTCATTCAACAACTACTTACTGGGTGCTTATCAGGTGTCAGGCTCTCTGGACAGTGCCGGGCCCTGGACATACAACTCCAGAAGACCGATCCAGCCCCTGCTTTCATGGCATTTTCACTGTGGTGTGGAAGAGACAGACAACAAACTCCGCACAAATCAGTGAACAAGAAATTCCAGACTGTGATGACAGCTGTTAGAGCAGAATTATAGGACAGCATGATGTGGTAGAAACAGAGGTGGGGGCACTTTAGCTAGAAAGGTCAAGATGGCGGACAGGCCTTTTAAGGAGGTGACATCTGAATTGAGACTTGAATGTTAAAAGGGAGCCAGACAGGAGAAAATCTGGGGGAAGCGTGTTCCAATTAAAAAGAAAAGAAAATGCAGACACCTTGAGGTTGTACAGACTTGGCCTTTTCTGGTACAAAAATAGTCAGAAGGGCTGGAATTAGAAAAGGAGGGGGGACTTTGTAGGAAATAAAGTAGGAGAGGTAAGCAGGGACCACATCAACCGCTAGAGGGTTTTAGGAAGACAACATGATTGACCCCTGCTTTTAAAGAAGCGAAAAGGCAGTGTGCCCACTTTGCTCTAAGCAGGTCGTAAAGGGGAGGCGTGGAGGCAGAGAGAGCAGGGGAGAAGGCTGATGCTGTGGTCCAGGCACAGTGATGGCAGTTGGGACTGAGGTGGAGGTGATAGGAAACCCATGGATTGTGGATGTGTTTTGAATGCGGAGGGGACAGGACTTTCTAATGGGTTGAGTGAAAGGAGTGATAAAAGCAAGTTCAGATGTATTAACCTCTGGGGTCCACGGTCACGGAGAAGCCTGGGGAGGGCACTGGGAAAGGAGGAGGAGCAATCAAAGATTCTGCCCGATTTGTGCTGCCTTTGAGACGTCTAGAGACAGTCGAGTGGAGAATGGATGTGCGAGTCCAGCGTTTGTATGTCTCCGCAGGTTCTTCTGCCCCCCGCCCTGTGTCTACCTCGCAGGTCCCGGCTGGAGGGTGAAGCCAGTGCAAGGCCAAGGTGAGGGTGGACTCCTGGACTGCCGGGCGCCTCCCTGCGGGGGGGACAGCACAGTGCGGCCTGGGAGCCTGGCGGGGTCGCATGCGCTGTCTCGCCGCGCCCTCTGGCGGCGAGAACTCCTCTTGCCAGGCACCCGAGTCCTTCCCGAGCCGCCTCGCGTCCCTTTCCAGCCCACCAGCCAGGGGAAACCGGACCCACGGTCTGCGGTTACATGGGACTGGATGGCGCGTCCGGCAGCGCCGCCGAGACGCAGAAGTTGAATTTCGAAGAGCAGCCAGACTCCAGGGTGAGAGGGCGAGGGACGGGCTCTGATTCCTGTTTCCATCCTTGCCCCTTCCTTGGCGAGGAGGGCTCATCTACCCCCTGCCCACAACCCCCCCGCCCCCCGCAGAAGCCAAAAGATAGGTGAAGAGGCGGGGGGACCGGGGTTCTGCCTCGAGGGTGAGCCTGAGAGCTGGGATCGTGCTGCTTCCTGTCACGTCCGATGGGGCAGACGTCAGAAAACTGGTGGCGGAGGGCTGGGATGAGACGGCCCGGTGCCCGCGCACCCCGTAGGAATTCGGTTGCGCCAAGACCCTGTACATCTCGGACGCAGACAAGAGGAAGCACTTCCGGCTGGTGCTGCGGCTGGTGCACCGGGGGGGCCGGGAGCTAGGCACCTTCCACAGCCGCCTCATCAAGGTCATCTCGAAGCCCTCGCAGAAGAAGCAGTCGCTGAAGAACACTGACCGTGAGCCGGGCGGGGCGCGAGGGCTGGGCGGGGCGGTCAGGTGCCACCGGGTCCAGAGCTGCCGAACTGGGGAAGGAGGAGACCTAGATTGGAAGGGTCGGGCCAGAGTGGGAGAGGTGGAGTCTGAGCCGGGAGAGGGGCGGGGTCTGGCTCGGGTCTGGGAATGAGAAACTAGAGCAGAGGAAAGGGGACAGACGCCAGACATTGGGGAAAGGGACCGGGGGTGGGGTGGGGGGTGGGGAGTCCAGAGCAGACAAAAATGGCCAGCAGGTGCTGAACTAAAGACAAAAGTGACAATAAAAGGGCAGTCAAAAATATCTATTCAGTGCTTGATGTATGCCTGGCTCTGTGCTAGACGCTGGATCCCTGTAACATAAAGACAAGTGCCTGTTCTGGAGGAACCCACAGCCTAGCACGGGAGATAGACACACAGCGCTCATCAGAGAGACAGTTTGAAATAAGGACTGCCCTGGGTGCCAAGTGACAAATCCCAAGGGGGACGGGGCCTGAAGCACAGTGACAACACTGTTGTCACTACCCACGAAGTGAGGTGGGGGAAGGCATAGGAGAAGGTGGACTTCCCTTGCTAACATTAACAAGAATCATCCTATTTGATGTTCACTGCATCCCTCTGAAGCAGGTACTATCATTGTTCGAGTGATAGGAGGGCATGAGGGAAACGAGGTCTGGAACATTCATCCATTCATTTAATGAAATAGTTGGGCCTATCACAATCCAGGTGACTTGCCTAAGATTGCCCGGCTAGGAAGAGACCCAGCCAGGATTTGAACTTGAGTCAGTGTCACTCCAAAGCCCATACTTACTTTCTGTCTGTTAAAAACCCTGTAGAACGTCTCAGACCCAGGCAGTGCTCTGTCTGGCCCTTGGTATCAGGTAAGTGGTATAGTGTGGTGGTTAGGAGTGCAGATTCTGGAGCTAGGTGGCCTAGGTTTGAATCCTGGCTGCTACTGGCTAGCTATGCTATCTGGAGCAAGTTTCTCTCTCTCTCTCTCTCTCTCTCTCTCTTTTAATGTTTGTTTTGTTTTGTTTGAGAGGGAAAGAGCACGAGCAGGGGAGGGGAAGAGAGAGGAGGGCAGCCCTGATGCGGGGCTCAAACTCATGAACCACGAGATCATGACTTGAGCCGAAGTCAGATGCTCAACCAACTGAGCCACCCAGACACCCCAAGTTGCTCTCTTAAACAGAGATAGTATCTACCCCAGAGCAGGGTTGGGAGAATCAAATGAGCTAATGCATATAGAGCATTTAAAACAGTATCTGACATACAACAAACATTAGCTTTCGTTATTATCCAATGGATGGGAACTTAGGCTATGTATAAATTGAGCATTTACAATATGCCTTGCACTAGGAGGGGAGAGAAGATGACCTAGTGCTTTCTCCCCAAGTGGTCAAAGCTCCGTCAGAAAACAAAACCATGGTTCTGAGTGTGATAAGCTGGAGGAGATGGGTGTCAAACCCTAGAAATATCACACTGCTGTTTCACACCACATGGTATTTGCTTATGCAGCCCCCTGAGCAACTCCCACCTACTTCCTGCTCCCCAGCTGAGAGTGTAACCTCCTCCAGGAAGCCCTCTTTCCCCCAGCCCTTACCACCTCATTTTGAAACTTTATATGTATGTCCCACCTCTCTGAGACTGTGAACTCCTCCAGAGTGAAACTGGGTCTAAGTCACCCTTTGGTGCCCAGTACCCAGCACAGTGCCTGCCCCAAAGGAGGCACTTAGTGAATACTTGATAATATTGTTTATCGAACTGAAGGGCGTCCAGGCAGCAAAAAGGAACAGGCAAGGATACAAAGGCAGGACTCCAGCCGGTACTTGGTAAAGGGCCATGAACTAGGAATGCCCAGTGTGTCTAGGCCAGTGAGCATACGAGGGGACTGACCCAGGGGACAGAGGACCAGAAAGTGCCTGGAAGTACAAGGAACCAAGGCAGGCTTGGGCGCTGATTTCACCTCCCCTCACAGTGTGCATATCCTCGGGCTCAAAGGTCTCCCTCTTCAACCGCCTGCGCTCCCAGACGGTCTCCACGCGCTACCTGTCCGTGGAGGACGGCGCCTTCGTGGCCAGCGCGCGCCAGTGGGCTGCCTTCACGCTCCACCTGGGTAACCACACCAGCCGGCCCGGGGCTGGGAGCTTCACATGCATCAGCTTATTTCATCTTCAGTACAACTCCTCGAGAAAAGTAAACTTTGCCCAAGGAACTGAGGCTTGCCAAAAGTCCCAGTGAGTCTGTGACTAGTCCAAGCCATTCTGACTCTAATGTCCAGCCCTCTCCATTCCTCTCAAACCCCACCCTGGGAGCAGACACTTTCAAGGATGGCCACAGATGACCCCTCCAGAATGAGAACCTTCAGCCTTAGCTGTCTCCCTGCATGCCGACCCTCCCCGCAGGATCCAAGTGTGATGTGGGGTGGGGCCAGAGGCAGGGAAGGCAGGGTTCAGGGGAGAAAGTTGGGACCCCTGAAAACCTTCCTTCCTTCCCTTCCCTCTTTTCACGCCAGCTGATGAACACTGTTCCCAGGGGGACTTCCCGCCTCGAGAGGGCTACGTCCGCTATGGCTCCCTAGTGCAACTTGTCTGCACTGTCACGGGCATCACACTACCTCCAATGGTATGAGAAGGGAGGGCATACCTGGGGGGTCCCCCCAGATCCATGCAGAAAGTCTGACCCACAAGGGCAGGGCTGGAAGGTGAGGGCCCAAGGCATAAAGACATGCATTCTCACTCTGGATACCCAGTGCTTTGTGGGGCTGGATGGAGGTAAAGGGTGGGGGGTGGGGGGACCTGTCAGAGCCCATATGGCTACAGGACAGCAGAAAGCTAGCTGGGAGGGCAGCCTCTGTGCACCCAGGCACCTTGCCGCCATACTTCCTACCACTCCTTCTGTTGTAGATCATCCGCAAAGTGGCCAAACAGTACGCACTCCTCGACGTGGACGAGCCCATCTCCCAGCTGCACAAGTGTGCGTTCCAGTTCCCCGGTGAGCCTGCCGGAGAGGGTGGCACTTACTTATGCCTCGCCGCAGACAAGGTGGTGCAATTCCAGGTGAGAGGGAACGAGTACTGGCACCAAGCGTTCTAGAAGGGTCAGAACATAGAGAACCGGAGAACGTAAGATGGTCATCATCATAATGACTGCTGCTTACTGAGCGACACTGCCTCCCATGGAATGTTAGAATCATAGACTATCAGGACAGAATCCAAGAATGTAGAAAAAATAGTAACAATATTAATTGAGCAATACTCCTTCCCAAGGAATGTTAGAGTCATAGAATGTTGGGAGATAAGATTTTAGAATGAAAATAAAAATAAGTAATAGTTCAGGGGCACCTGGGGGGGGGCTCAGTTGGCTGAGCATCAGACTCTTGATTTCGGCTTGGGTCAAGATCTCAAGGGCTCATGAGATCGAGCCCTGTGTCAGGCTCTGTGCTAACAGCGTGGAACCTACTTGGGATTCTCTCTCCCCCTCTCTCACTCTGCACCCCACCCCCCCCAAATAAATAAACATTTTTTTTAAAAGAATCATAAAATGTTAAGCCACAGAATTGTAGAATGTGGAAAATTATTATTAAGCAGTACAACTCCCAAAAGAATATGATCATGGAATGTTGAGATAAAATCATAATATATAGAAAATAACATTATTATTGAGCTATATTGCCTCCCCAAGCATTTCAAACCTGTAGAATAGAATTGCACAATGTTAAAAAATAGAATTTCAGAATCCTAAGAAAATAGACCTTTGGAAACCAGCTAGTTCAGGGAACTTAAGGGCCTTGTCCAAGCTCACAGGGCAGGTAAAGCTCAGAGCCTAGGACTGGACCCCAGGATGCAAGAGCCCAGGCATTATGCTGACCCATGCCACCCATGCTGGTGGCCACCATCCCCTTGGGTCTCCTCCCAGGCCTCCCCCTGCCCCAAAGAGGCGAACAGGGCGCTGCTCAATGACAGCTCTTGTTGGACCATCATCGGTACCGAGTCGGTGGAGTTCTCCTTCAGCACCAGCCTGGCGTGGACCCGGGAACCCGTCACCCCAGTGCCCCTCATCAGCACCCTGGAGGTGAATCCGGGGCGCTGGCGGGCGCAGGGGGCGCGGGCGAGCGGGGATCTGGCTCAGGGTGTGTGTGTGTGGGGTGGGGGGAATGGGGTGCTGGCGAGGGAGAGCAGCAGGCTCTCGGCCACCGCCCCCGCTCCCTCCCGCCCCCAGCTGAGTGGTGGGGGAGACGTGGCCACGCTCGAGCTCCACGGCGAGAACTTCCACGCGGGGCTCAAGGTGTGGTTCGGGGACGTGGAGGCCGAAACCATGTACAGGTATAGGGGGAGCCTCCCTCGGGCCGCGGGGAACGGGACGGGTGCGTGCCGTCGGCGGCACTGCAGCCCTAACCTCGGTGCCACCCCAGGAGCCCGCGGTCTCTGGTGTGCGTGGTGCCCGACATCGCCACCTTCGGCAGCGACTGGCGCTGGCTGCGCACACCCATCACAGTGCCCGTGAGCCTGGTGCGCGCCGACGGCCTCTTCTACCCCAGCGCCTTCTCCTTCACCTACACCCCCGAGTACAGCGCGCGGCCCGGCCCCCCGGGCGCCCCCGAACCCGCAGCCGACGCCGACGCGCTGCTCGAGAGCATCCACCACGAGTTCACGCGCAGCAACTTCCACCTCTTCATCCAGACTTAGGTCCGCGCCCACGCCAGGCCCGGGCCTCCCTGGGGCCCGGGCTCCGCCCCCTGCCCCTTTGCTGGGAAGTCAAGGCCAGAGCCTGGACGGCGGAGGGCCCTCGCGGGAGAAACTAACACTCACTCGTCCACCTGAGTGATGCTGTCCAGTCACCAGCGTGGCTCTCCCCGTGTTTGTCTGTCTCTCTAAATCAAGCAGTCTCTCTCTCTCTCTCTCTCCCCCACAGTACCTTTGCACATCTCCCCATTTGTGTGTCCCCATGCCTCCAACTTTGTCTGTTTCTCCCTGTGTCTCAGTAGGATTTCACACACTCTTAAGAGCCAGGCCTGGGACATTTACCTTCTGTGCAATTGTGTCTCCTCTTGAAGAGGACCCACACAGTTCCACACACCCAGGCCTGGAGCACCATGTCCTGCATGGACTGCTAGCTCTGACCCTGAATGCCAGCTCCCACCTAGATCTCCAGGTCGGGCCTAAAGTGCTGGCTCTCACCTGGAGCACCCGGCACTGCCCGGAGCACTGGGTTCCACTTGGAGCACCGGGTCACTCCTAGAGCTCTGGGTCTCACCTGGAGCACTAGACTCACCTAGGACACCAGATCCCACCCATTGCAGGGGATTTTGCTGGAGCACCAGGTCCCATGTGAACACTGGGTTCCACTGGAAACACTGAGTCCCTCCTGGAGCATGAGAGGCCTGCCCTGGAGTACTGGGTTCCGCCCTGGAAGACAAGACCTGCCCCTCCTGGTGCTCCCAATGGCTGCGGCCAGGCATAGCACCCTTGCCTGTGCTTGCTTTGTGCCCGGGACGGTGGTCAGGTCTTGCCATCTTCACTGTCCACCCAGGCACTTCTCTTGCAGGCCCAACAGATCCTGCAGGTCAGGGATTCCTCTGCCATCCCAAGTCAGAGTCTGATCTGAATGACCCACCTCCCCAAGGAGGGAGGCGCTCAGTGTAGTTCCCCCCACTCGCACACACAAGAAGGGACCATGAGTCCAATGGAGCAGAGAGCCTGCCATTTTGACCCTTTCTGGAGAAGGAATGAGGTTTAGAAGCAGCTAGCATTCTTGAGCTCCTGTCCCTGTCCTGGGGCCCACCTGTTGGCTCTGGGGTCGAGTTCCCTACTAGCTATCCCCCCAGTCTAAGCAAAGATGCACCCCAGGCTCAGGGGCAAACGTAAGATACAAAACACAGGACAGTTCCAGGCAGAACTCCTGGGATCAGCTGGACAGTAACTCAGCTGAGAGAGGAGCTTCTCAGCATGGGAACCAGGAACCAAATGACAGTCTGCCCTGATCAACCTGCCCACCCCCTGTCAAGTCTGTGCTTTACAGGGAAGCAGAAGAACGAGGCAGGGTCCTGGCTCAGACCGTTGGAGCCATGGATATAGATATATGTGGGTGCCAGCTACCTGATCCAGTCCCTGTGGTGCCCCATGGGGACAACTGCTCTAAAATGTGGGTTCAAGGCTCTCACTCCTCTGGGCCCTTCCTGGAATTCTGAGAAGGGCTCATTCCCCAGGAAGTTTCTCTCCCGGGGGGGGGGGGGGGGGGGGGGGGTGGGAAGCCCGTGAGGAAGAAGCTGACATTTCCCAAGGGGAGGAAGTGACCTTTGCTCTTTAAACTTCCCTAAATTATAGTGAAGATCTGTCATCTGCCATCAGCAGGCTGAAACTCACTATGATCAGGAAAGAGAAGCTTGTTTAAGGGCCCTTCATGGCCCCTGAGAATGAATCCTGGCTGAGGAATGCAGGGGACAAGTTGAATGGGAAATGTCCCCTACGTGAGTGCCTGCTTCAGAAGAGTTTGCTCTCACTGCCCCGTGATACTGTTGAAGCACGAAGCCACTTAGAATGAGTTTCACAGCAGGGTGTTGGGGCACAAGGGCCCATTCAGCCCTGTGCTCGAGGACTTCCTCTGCCACTTCATAAGGCAGGAGTCCTGGAAGCGAAGATCCTAGGTTGGCCTGAAAGCCCAGGCCCCTCCATGCAGCCCTGTCTTCTTTTGCACACCCCTCGGGGCACCATAGGACCCTCGGTCCCATGTATGCACCCACGTGGAAGTCTGTGACCTCAAAGCCTTGGCCTGTCTTCTAAGTCCCAGCTGCAGTACTATGCTCAGAGGTCCTCCTAGCCCTGAACCTGAATCTGACATCCAGTCCCTTCCCACTCCACCCCCTTGCAGCAACCCACTGTCTGTGTCCTTTCCTCACGCCATCCAGCCACAGAGGCCTTCACCTTGCCTTCCGCACTAGAATAAACTTCCTTCTTTCCTCTCCCTCCGCCTACTGCCCTGATCTCCAAATCCAGCTCAAATGTCACCTCTTTCAAGATTTCCCTAAGGCAGGATCAGCTACATACTTTAGGGGACCCAGTGCAAAACTAAAATGTATGGGGAAAAAAAAGAAGAAAATGAAAATGTATGGCCCCCTTGTACAAAAACTATTTAGAATTTCAAGACCGTGACAACAGAGCATAAAATCAAGAAAGGCCCTTCTAAGCCTTGAGTGCACAATTCACATGCCCTGGACCCACCCCCGTATTCCCCTAGAACTTCCCTGGGACCATGTCACCACCCACCCTGGATGAAAGGACTTTATGTATATGTCAATTGTCCCCTCTAGACTGTGAGCTCATGGGGAAAGAGGCTCATGGGTGTGTGTCCTAGAGGGTGCATTACCAGACCTTGAACTTTGAGCGGGGCTCAATAAATACCAAATGGCCAAGCATTCATTGCCTTGGCAGTTTGTATATTTGCGAGTGTAAAGTGAGACCAGCAGGTGGCACTGTTTCCCTCCCAAGAATTAAGTTTTAGAGTATCCTTAGAGAACTGTGAGGGTATTAAAAGATAATCTTCACATTTTCACGCTGTCAGAATGGGAACCCTAGGGTTGAGAATCATTGCTCTAGTCCATATTCCCCACTCGTTTTACAGACGGGGAAACTCAGGCTCGGAGAGAAGGCCCATGAAGCTCCAAGAGCACGTTGATAGCAGAGCCTAATTTAAGTCCTATACTCTAATGCTAAATCTGGGACTCTGAGGTTCTCACAGAGTGAGAATAAAGTCAAAATCTCTGTTCTAAAATCTCCTAGCTTACCAGCTCTCATGTTGCCTGAGTTTCCACCATGAACTACTAGTCTACAGGCTTAAGCATTGACTTTTCGGTTTCTCTCTCTCATTTGTTTCTTTTAAGTGGGGCTTCCCCGAAGAGTCTCACATTAACCACAGTGTGGGTAAAATTCTCAGACACCTTCCTCCCTGGGTCAGGATGTAGACTGCTGAGGGCACAGACCAAGAAGACAGAGAGGGAGGGAGGAAGCAGCCTTATTTGATGGGAATAAAACCGATAAGATAATATCCACTAAGTTTTCCAAGAGTCATCCCTGACCATACTTACCAAAAAAAAGGCCCTCCAGGCAGGCTTGGCTCTCTTCCAGACCCCAAGGGACAAAGGCAGGCAGGGCAGTATTGGCATAATAATGCTTTCAGTGGGCAAAGTGGTCAACACCTGCCATAGCTGGCTGATCGCCCCAGAGGCAAGCAGAGTTCTAGGGGAAGGCAGAGCCTTGTGGCCAAGGTATTTACGGTTTCATTACATGGGTTCTAAATGGGTTCGATTATAGAGTGCTGAAGTAGAGCCCACTCTACCAAGCTCATTCCCAAGCCTTCATCTAGTTCAAAACATCCTCCTCCCCAACCCTGGCTGGTGCCTGGAAGAGTGCCATCCCTGCCTCATCCAGACTAGGGGTGTCCTAGGCTTGGCTGATTTTGTCCTGATTGTGTGTGTGTGTGTACACACTTCTTCTTCCCACACTAATTACTCATATGTATTTTCAGAAGAATCACCTTAAGATCCAGGAATGCAGCTCAAACAGTGGCTTTCCAGACAACACCCATCTTGGAAACAAAGTTGTGTGTTTAAGCCAGGCACATTTGGCAAGTTCAAGTCACTTAACCTCTCTGTGCTTCAGTTCTCCCTTCTGTAAAAGGGGAAGTATTTGTTTCACAGGATGTTGTGAGGAATAAAATAACCAATGTATGTAAAGCAACAGGGCCTGGCCCACTGTAACCACTTTCTGTGGGACAGCTGCTGTCATTGTCGTTACTCCAGAAATATTTTTACAGATGATCCAGACTCTGCACTCCCCACCATTTGACAGATGGAGAAATTGATTGTCCAGAGGGAGTAAGTGACCTGCCTGTATTGGTTGTCTATGTTGTGTAACAGACTACCACAAACACAGCAGTTAAAATAACACCCATTTATTGCCCTTATGGTTTCCATGGATCGGGAGCCCAAGCACAGCTTAGCTGGGTTTTCTGCTATGGGTCTCCCAAGGCCATAATCAAGGCGTGAGCCGGGGCTGACAGGGCGGTCTCTGAGGCAAAGGGTCCTACTCCAGGCTCACAGAGTTGTTGGCAAAATTCACATCCTTGTAGCTGTAGAACTCATGGAAGCTTGCTTCTTCAAGGCCAACAGGAGAGCATCTCTCTTACCAAGAAGGTTCCGGATCCTCTTATTAGCGCTTTCAACTGATTAAGCTTGGCCCACCCAGGGTAATCTCCCCTTTTAATAACTAAAAAAATCAACTAATTTGGTACCTCAATTATATCTGCAAAACCCCTTTGTCTTTCCCGTCTGATGTAACCCAATCATAGGAGTGGCATCCATCATGGTTACAGATCCTGCCCACATTCAAGGGGAAGGAATATAATGGTGTATACAACAGGAGGTAAAAATCTTGGGGGCCATCTTAGAATTCTGACCATCCCATCCCCCAAAACTACATAGCAAATGATTTCCAAGGAGGAATCTATTTGGCCTGTAGGCCTCCCAATGCCCCACGAAGAATGGCCCCATATAGGGGTCAGTGCTTCTCTGGTTTCAGAAAAAATGGCAGGATCATGAACAAAAAAGGCTCAATATTGTCTAAATCCACTTTGCATCCTGTGCCCAATTCTCAGAAATAATATTATACCAAGTCCCACTCAGAGTCTACTCTAGATAAATTAAGTCCTGTGCAGAATTGACCAGAAACAAGGCTATAGTAACCAGCCTTTGAGATGGCTTCTAAGGAGTCTTGCCTCCTGAAGGTATTCCTGCCCTTCCCTTCTGCAGTCTCCTTTCACGATGAATATGGCTGACGTGTGTGACCAACAGGATAGTGTGGAAGTAACAGTGAGTGACCAAAGGCTTGGCCATAAAAGGCATTGTAGCTTCCACCTGGCTCTCTAGGATCGCTTTCTGGGAAAAGCCAGCCACCATGTAATGAGGACATTAGCCCTTTGAGGGTCCACATGGCAAGGAACTGAGGCCTCCTGTCAACAGCCATCATCAACCTGCCAGACATATAAGTGAGCCATCCTGGAAGTGGACCCTCCAGCCCACTCAAGCTTCTAGATGCTCTGGCCCAGGTCAACATTTTGACTACAACTTCATGAGACAACTACCTAGCTCAGTAGCTCCCACATTCCTGGCCTGCAGACACTATGCGAGACAGTGGTCAGAAGCCCTGAAATTTGGGGATAATCTTACACAATAGATAACACAGGGGCCTTGTGGAGCTTCTGTCTCACCCAAAGATGGCGCTGATGAGAATGAAGTGCTTTTAGTGAGCACTTACCGTACTCTAGGCTCCGACCTACCTCCCTGTAGGCTGTTGGAGCACAAGGTAGCAGCTATTAAAAGCTGAAATCCCAAGTCGAAAGGTCATGACCCACAGTCTTCATCACCGAACACAGACCTAACAGAAATTTCTGAGACAACGGAAATGCTCTGTATCTGCACTGACTGAAAGAGTAGTCAGCAGCTGCATGTGGCTACTGACCGCTTGAGATGTGGCTAGCACAACTGAGGAACCGAATTTTCGTTTTTGAAAATGTGTTTAAATGGAAAGAGTCACCTGTGGCCGACAGCTACTATACTGGACGGCCCAGGTCTAACAGATGCAAGGACCTTCTGCAAGAATCAGGTTATAAAGAACAGGGAGCCCCACTCAAGCTTCACGGAGCTCAGGCAAACAAGGTGTGGCGGGGGCCCCGGAGACCAGACTTGCTGCTTCAGTGGGGGGGGGGGGGGGGGGTGTAGGTCCCAAGCAGCCTCTGGAGCCCAAATGCCTGGGTTCAAACCCCACCTCTACTGTCGGTAAACTGTGTCACTTTGGACAAGTAACCTCTTAGCTGTGGTGTCCCAATCCGTATAACGGGGATACTAACAGACCCTACTCTGTGGAACTGTTGTGCCGATTAAGTGGGTTCAGGTATGAAGCAGAGACGGCATGGGTTCTGGCACATGCATGTGACACGAGGATTTGCTTCTACTAATTCCTCTGTATCCTTCCCCCGACCCCAGCCAAGCACTGGGTGATATGCCACCAAAGGAAGACCACCAAAACCCAAGGCCTTGGAATTAAGGTTTAACCCTGCAGATGAGCTAAGGGCAGGTTCCCCCCTTGGTAAAAAGGCTCTTACCAGGATTGAGAGAGGCATCAATGGGGTTTGTCCAGACCCGACTACTGCAGTGCTTGTAGAAGCCACGCAGGTGACAGGAGTGAAGCAGGTAAAGACTGTGGCAAAGCAGAAAACCCACATCCAGACAGGATCCTCCCTGTCAGCAACTTTCAATTGTTGCCATGCAGCCGGAGAGGAGCCAAATCTTGAGTTTTTCCCAAAAGAAGCAGGGAATCTGGATTTACATGGGGAACATCCTCACTTCTATGGTTAGCATCTAATCCAAGGATTTTTGTGGGTTTCTTTTAAAGTTTATTTACTTTGAGGGAGAGATTGAGGGAGCCAGGGAGGGGCAGAGAGAAAGGGAGAATCCCAAGCCTCAACGAGGCTCAATCCCACGAACCAGGAGATCATGACTTGAGCCTAAACCATGAGTCAGACGCTCAACTGACTGAGCCACCCAGGAGCCCCCACCACCCACCTTGTGTTTTTTAACCAGGTGCCATCTAAGCGCCACACCAAGTTAGGCATGACATGCCCCACAGGCCGCCAGGGGCACATTCTTTCTTTCCTCCTCTCCAGGCCCTTTCTTGGCTTCTTCTCTGCCTCCAATGTCTGGCACCCCAAAGGGCATTTGGTCAGGGCAATGATCTCAGGCTCCGCGAAGGTCAAAGGATACAGAACCCAGAAAGAAGGACTTCTTACAAACTTTGAAATGACAGAGACAAGCAATCTAGAAAGTACCAGGTTTTATTATCTTCTTATCAAAAAGAAAAAAATCAGTAACAGACAACAGTGTGAGGTGGCTACAAGAAGAGGTGCTCACTCCCAACATAGCCAGAGGGAAAGGGCATGGCAGGGGTGGGGGAGGGGTGCCCAGAGGACCCAGCCAGCTGGGGCCCCTGGCTTGAGGTGGTGAAGGGTGCGGGAGGCAAGGGCGACTCCCCCCTCCCCAGCCAGTGGGGTCAGGAGAAGACGCAGCCTGCACGGGCTAACTAACCCACCGGGCCTCCTCTTTGTGAAGGAAGGATCACAGATAAGCTCCAAAGCCAGGAGCCAGTCAGCCCTCCCCCATGCCCCCTTTGCCCAGGGAGACAAAGATCACCCCAGCAAGGCTGGGGCTGGGACTTGTTATAGCAGTTCAGTTTTCTAGCACTGTGGTTCGACAGGTGGACATGGGCTCTACCTGCGTGCTCACCAGAGCAGCCACGAGCCACATGTGGCAAATGAGCACTTGAAATGTGGTTAGTGTAAATGAGGAATGAATTTTTTAACTTTATGTGATTTTAATTGATTTGAATAGCCACGCGTGGCTAGTGCTTACCATAATGGATAGGACGGCTCTCCAATGTTCTCTTAAATTTGGAGAAAACAAACAAAGGAACACCAGTTGGGCTCAAAGCAGAAGCTAGAAAGAAGGTAGAATTGTCTACCCTCAACTATTCCGGCCCAATCAGGAGAAGGCACCACGAACAGAGCGAGAGAAAGGCAAAAACCCACTCAGCCACACAAAACTCCACTCACTCAACCATCCAGCCAACGTCAAATGGGACATATCATGCTATTTCCTGAAAAAATATATTTATCTATTTTTCTAGAACCATGAATAATAATATATTACAAGAAAAGAGACACAAATATCCCACCATCCCCTACATTATATTTTGGGATCTGCTAGAAAACTATGTTTCGGCAATAGCCACTTCTTAGAGGAAGCAGCTTCAGAAAGGGCCAAGGTCAAGAGCGGGAAAGTGTTAAGTATAAAAAAAAAATGGGGAGGATATTTAAAAGAGGAAAGAGAGAAAGAGGCCCTGTCTGAAGCTATAAATAGTAAAAAAAAAAAACAAAAAAACAAAAAAAAACAATTAATAAAAATCATATCTCCGTCTCTTCTCTCATTTCCGAGAAACAAAAACAAAAAACCATTAAATACAAACTTAGCAGGTACTGTGGAAAGTGCAAGAGAGCGGAGAACATCTTGATATCGGCACACTCTTGCCCAGGCAGAGGCTCTGCACCAAGGAATGAACCATTAGAAAAAAATACCCCGCTAAGAGTAGATTTACAAATACTTTGCAAATCCATTTCAGTATGTAACTTTCAGCTCTTCTCCCCACCCCCTCCCCCTCATAAAAAAGGCTGATTTCCAAAAGTCACTTGATAGAGCCGAGAATGGCCCAAGGTATACCACAGACTCCTGTAGTGTGGTCACAAGTGCCCTTTGACGGACACATCAAGGTGCAGGTGGTTCTAGTTCCTTCTCCCAGCTCCTTTTCACAAGAGGGAAGGAGAAGGCCGCTGGGGGCCGAGCTCCAGCTTCAGAGGGGCTCTGGATGAGGCATGTTTAATATAGGCTCTAACCTGGGCCCACATTCTAAAGTGGAAAATTAAGAAATGATCCAATCCCAGACCTGCCTTCAGCAAGGCCAGGCGTAACCCCATTTTTCTGCCGGGACAGTCGAGGCCCAGAGAATCAAGAAGAGGCAGGCAGGAACAGAAGATGATGCCTCTTCTGACGCTTAAAACATAATCACAGCTGGAGATGCTGACAGGTCAGTATTAGTTTGCCCTCCCCCTACCCTAATGTCCACCCTTCAAAATCCTTCTGCTTCCCTCCCTGCTGAGGTCCAAGCCAGTGTGCCCAGGAGGCTGCTTCAAGCATAGAACTCGTTGGTGGGGGCTTTTTTGTAGATAGGTTTCTTGCCCAGGTCGTAGGTGCCTTCGTCCTTCTTCTTCATGCGGTATACCAGCAGCAGGACCAGGAAAACAGCAAACAGGACGCCCACGCCGCCACCCACGATCAAAGCTGCGGAGGAAGAGACGGGAGAGCTGCGGGTCAGGACCTCGGACACACTACCACTTCCCCCTAGTCGGCTCACTTACAACTAGACATCTTCACCCCTGCTGTCACTTGTGCTAGGTGTGACCTCGTGAACAAGACAGGGGGTCATCGGAGGTCACTGAAGACCACAGCGCCGGAGTGGCAAAGCTACCCTTCCAACCCACGCCTGCTGGAGCCCACAGCACCTTCCAAACACCAGCTTGACACCCCAGCAACAGCTTAGCACTAACTGGGCCAGGAGCAAGCAAACCCGCAGGCCTGAAAACCAGCCTAGACAGTGCAGGCCTCAGAGCATCGCAGTCTAGCTGGCTCTGGGTACACACACCTACACAGGCCTCCACTTCCACAGGCAGGTGTGCACATCCTCTATACACACAGGTGTGTCCTACCAGACACAGCTCTAACATGGTGACACGGCCAGGCTGCTACGTCACTGACAGTTACAGACAGTGGTTTACGTTCCCGTGTTTCCAGCTCGGTGGTTAAGGCCTAGGTCCCACTCCCGTTACTCAGCACTGGCTATGTCATCAGGCAAGTGCCTTCATCTCGCTCATTGCAAACTGGAAATAAAAGTACCTTTCTCACACATCTGTCCTAGGATTAAATAAATTAATCCACCCAAAGTGCTTAGAACAATGCACAGCGTATGCTCAGTCCTCATGGATTGTAAACCTTTGTGGCTTTATGATCCGTGTCCCTAGCACCCTCAATTGGGCCTGGCACAACAGTGAGTGCTTAATAAATGACACTCACAGTTCAGCTCAGAGAGGAGCACTGCCTACGGGCACCTGCTAGCATCAGGCCGGTGCGTGCTGCTAACCTCAGGTGGGCAGCTGTTCTGCATCATGCCAGGTCGCCTGAAGGGCTCATTCCTGTTTGTTGAGGGGGCAGGGATATCTCACAGAATCCTTGCTGCGGCAGACTGAGTCCCCTAATTCGGTCTTACTAGGGCTAAGAAGATTAATTTTCCATCCCTGCACACACTCTGAATCTATGCACAGAATGAGGGCAGAGTGGCACAGGGGAGTCCAGTAAGGTTCCTTCTTAGCTAAAACTCATGAAAAAACAGCCACAAAGTGCCCCCAGGAAATACCAGAAAAAGCACAATGGAATAAGGTATCAACCCCATTCCTGTTTTTATCGCCCTTCCCTCTGATGACCCCCGGCTCCTCTAGTGGGACCTTGGTCTGTGCTGGAACCTTGACCCCACAGGGTCAGAAGGTTCAAGGGCAGTCTCAAAAGTGACTGCGGCCCTAGGTTTCAATACTAATGCCTAGTTTTGTGACTTTGGAAAGTGATTTGGCTTCTCTGAGCCTCGGTTTCCTTACTTATAAGAGTAAAGACAGCCATACCTGTCTGATAGGGTCGTGGAGATTCAGGGGGGCACACGCAGCAGGTAGCACCTGGCAAGCACTTGAGAAACTCCCAGGTGCCATTCAGATGCCAACTAACACAGCAACGGAACTTCTCACATGAAGATCTTATGCTTGGATAATTCTCAACCGCGAGATTTAAGAGACGACTTAGCTTTGGTTCTGTCTCTTGCTTATGTGACCCAAGCAAGTGGTCTGCTTTCTCTGGGCCTTAGTCTCCCCGAGTTAAAAGACATGCTTGGCCTAGATCAGTGGTTTTTAAACTTTTCTTTAAAAGCAGCAGAACCCTTTGTTGGTGAAAGCAAAACCTTATGCTAACCCCACATATGCCAGCTAAAAGTGAAACTCTGTGGTTGAAAAAAGATGGGGGGAGCTTTTACCGAAGCTTTTGAAGCTTAGAAGATCACAAGGTCTCTAAGGGCCCCTCTAGTTCTGATAGCACCACCACCCCCTCACATCACACAAAAAGTAGCGAAGGAAAAGCAGAAAGAATAAATACTCGGGTCCCAGGAGGTCAGGGTCAAGGCTGAGCTGGGCCCAAAGTCACCTAGGGTTACATTCCCAGCCAGCCTTATCTGCAAGATGTAGGCAAGACCCTTATCTGTCCTGGATGGAGGCAGGACACAGGGCTCCCCCCTGTACCTCAAGACTCCGCGAAGGTGTTGGCCCAACTGGCTGTGGCTGTCCAGAGACAGGAGTAACCCAGACTGGGCCCGGGGCAGCCACTCGACAGGCTGCTTCATGAAGACCTGCCCTTGGCCTATAACATTTGGCCAGAAAGAGAGTTCTCTCTGACAACTCACCCCTGCCCGCAGCTTTGGAGACCCCCCAAGCTGCCAGGGAAGGAGAGAGCCAGCAGGCACTGCCCCAGCTGAAGACCCCACAGCCAGGCTTGAAAGAGCCACTCCTAAAGCCCCATGAAGACTCAGTGACAGATTACACCAACAAATCAGAAAAGCCCTTTACGGTTTGCCAAATTATTTCAGATTCTCATTTTCATGGAGTTATTACACCAACCCGAGGAGGTAGCATTGTACCCATTTACAGAGGAAGAAATGGAGGCTCACATCCTCAACTGAGGCTGGAAAGCTTCTCGGCCAAGATCACGAGGCTGTCAAGTGACAGAGCAGGAGGGAGGGAAACCAGCCCAATCCAAAGGAGTCTCTGTGCTTTTGAGGGCAGTTAACCTTGAATAAACTCCCTAGATACCAATCCCAGGTTACGAAAATGCTTTGAAAACAAGACAGAAGGACTTAACGGCCAGTGACTGACTCCTAGCTGTTCTTTAAAAGACTCTGATATGCAATTCTCCTCCCCCTCCACCGGGCTGCTCACCCAGTCAGAGCCACCCCTTACGACTACGGTGTAGTCCTTGAGGCTCCAGGGCACCCTGTGGCTAGAAGGAAGGGGTACCAAGAAGCCCAATGTGCCAGAGGCATCCCTGTCTGCAACACTGCCTCCCAGTCCTCTCCCCCTTCAAAGTATCTCGTGAGGACCTTACCCGCCAGAACCTCTGTCCTCTCAAAGATGTTGCCGCTCTGTGTGGCACTGGACATGGACACCTTGTTAGACACATCCTCGTCCCCTTCAAAGGGTGAGATCCTCTTGGGGATGACCTCATTCTCCTCCAGGTCCTTGGCTTCGGTGGGGACCCAGCTCCCAGGCCCTGCCCTCTCAGGGATATGGTTATCTAGAGGCACCTGGATGGGGCAGAAGGAGGAGAGATGAAGACTCAGTGTGCTTTGGGGAGGGACCCAGGGCAGGGACAGGAACATTCAGCCAGGGAGGGAATCTGCTTCCGCCATCTTGCCGGATGAACCGTGTGGTCCTGGAGCTGAATTCAGCACCAATCTCTCAACAATTATACCATCAAAGGCTTACCCTCAACCTTTCTAGTGGATCTGTCCCAAAAGAGGAATGAATGTGACCGAGGGTACAGGGAAGCAGGTGTTACCACTCACTGCTGGTCAGTGGGGATTCTAGAATCACCACCCTGGAGGCCGGTTGGGCAAAACTATAGAAAGTGCTTGCCCTTTAAGGCAGCAGCTTTGCCTCTGGGACTCTATCCCAAGGAGCTAATCAGAGATTTGAGTGAAAGATGCTTGCTGTGGTGGTATAATTTTAGAGTATCAAAAAATCATAAACAACTTTTCCATCAATAAGGGGAAAATAATGAACGATGATTATGCAGCCTATAAAAATGAAAAAGAACACTTAATTATGTGAGGAAGCAAACTCGTGCCCACTTTAAGTGAAAAGTGCATCACACAAGACTGTATATATTATTTGATATTAATGCTGGGCAATACCTAGAAATGCACAGAAAAGGTGCTGGAAACACATCTAAGTGTTGACAGTGATTATCCCTGCAGGAAGGATGGCCTACCCACAGTCGTGCCTGTCCCTAAGGAGCCAGGGCCACCAATACAAGCTTTCTTGCAGAGTGAGGTCAGACCCTCACTTATGGGCTCCTCTCAACAGGTGTCACAGTGGAGCAAATGGGGAGAGGCAAAAGCATGTTAACTACTCACCAAGGGTTGGATTACTTCCGGGAAGATCTGGGGGTCCTCTGAGTCATCTGTAAAGTCAGAAAAGCTGTGTGAACATTTGTCCTTAAAGTACCTCCCCCTTCTTCAGCCATGGCTGGTGGGAGTCCTACCTTACAAGCAGCCCTCAAATGCTCAGTGTACAGTAAGTGACCATTCCCACCCCAGCCTCAGTCACCTCATCTGTAAAATGGGGCTCTCAAGACCTTGCTCCCCGGTTCTTTCACAAGGATGCCAGGCAGTTAGCTGAGCAGATGCTTTGTCAGCTCCAAACCCTTGCTCTGGAATGCCTGGATCAGGGACCAAGAGCCGGTTAGAAACGCAGAATTTCAGGGCTCATAGAATCAGAGTCTGCATTTGTTTTTTTTTTTTTTTTAACGTTTATTTATTTTTGAGACAGAGAGAGACACAGCATGAACGGGGAAGGGGCAGAGAGAGAGGGAGGCACAGAATCGGAAGCATGCTCCAGGCTCTGAGCCATCAGCCCAGAGCCCGACGCGGGGCTCGAACTCACGGACCGCGAGATCATGACCTGAGCCAAAGTCGGACGCTTAACCGACTGAGCCACCCAGGCACCCCCAGAGTCTGCATTTGAACAAGAGCCCCAAGGGATTCCTTTGAGATGACTCTAGATTGTAACATTAAATGTTAGAAATCGCAACATTAAAATATTTACTGAGTGCTTAGCATGTGCCAAGAGTCCAATCCCCAACTCAATGATTCACTATTTTACAGATTCGGAAACCAAGTCTCAGGTCACTGAGAGGCAGTTTGAACTCAAGACTATGGGACTCCAAAGCTCAAACTTCAAAGATCACACCATCCTGCACATAGGAGTCACTGAAGACCATGAACCGGCCTGGCCCCTGGTCCAGCCCCCAGAGGCCTGGGCCCCTTCACACACTCCCATCCCCCTCTGAAGCAGGGGCTTGTTCTCCACCCATACTTCTGCCCACACATGCTCCCAGACTTTGGAGCTGGCCCTTCTCCTTTTCACAAGAAGAAAACACTATCAGTTCTTTCCAGCCCCACCCCCACCAGGCCCCCAGCCACAGGCAGACAGGTCCAGGCTGGTGCTCAGAAAACCTACAGCTACAAATGAACTCAAAGCAACAAATAACCCGCCCAAGGAGGGTTGTCAAGGGGTGGAACGGCTTGATAGTTACTTTTGTTTCCCCTTTGAGAGGGGAGGAGCTCTGCTGGAAAACCCCCATACAAATCCAAGTCAAAAGACATGCTCACCCCACTATGGTCTGTGAGGCCACTTTCCCTCCAGCCCCATGACCTCAAGCCTGCCCACCACACCCTCCATACCCAGATCTCCAGAGCCAGACAGCTCAAAGTCATCGGGCTCCTGCCCGGGCCCCCCGACATCCTCATCATCTGGGAGGGCTCCAGAAAAGTATCGGCCTTCTAGGAGGTCTTGGGGGTCGATGACTTCGGTCTCTCGGATCTAGAGTGAAAAAAGGACTTACGTCAGCCACTTCTGAAGACACATCAGTAGCCCCCTGGTGCTTGACAACAGCCCCTGAGCCCCAAAAGGCAATGAAGTGGGCATTCGGTAAGGTAACCTGGGGTGCTGGAAAGTAAGCAGGCCAGGACCTGGAGACCTGGGTCCTGCTCTCCTCCTGGCCCCCTAACTTGCTGTGTGACCTTAGGCAAATCTCTTTCTCATCCTGGGCTAATAAAAATAATAAAGTTGGTAATAATCAGAACATTAAACATTACTAGGTACTACTTACTATAAGCAATTACTACGTGCCAGCCCCTGTTCTTATTAACTCCAAAGGCATGTCTTTAACCTCATTTTACAACCAAGGAAACTGGGCGTTTCCCTCTGACACAAGTAGCGGGTGGAAGAAGGAGGCTTCCGCATCAGGCTGCCTGACTGCAGGAGCCACACAGGCTGGAGGGTAGGACACTCTAGGGTTCTAGGGCGCAGACACTGTCACCACTGATTCGCCTGTGGCAGGGAGAGGGCTGCTGGCCCTGGTCTTTCCCAGTCCAGGACACCTTTCCCAGCTGAGTCAGACTGGGCTGGGACAGACAGGGCTGGCTCACCCACACCTCAGGGAGGCCTCAGTCCAGGTGCTGCACAGACCTAGTGACTCACAAATACATGAGCACACTCTCATATCCAGCTTTATAAGCATCTCCCACAGGATCTGTTCTGTACCAGCACAGAGTGGGGCACCATCCACTCCATCACCCACAAATGTCCTTGGCCCCTACTCACGGGGACCCAGTCTAGGACATCACAGCAGAATCTGGAGACTACTTCCACTGAGAAGCTTTCCAAAGGAAAGTATCAAGGTCCAGGGAGGCAAAGACTTTCCCAGGGTCCTACAAGTACATCAGCTACTCTCTCTGTTCCCATCTCCTAGAGCTCACAAGGGTAGGAAGCATTCTGAATTCTTACTGCTGTTCTCCTTAGCTCTGGGGCGACAGAGCTGTTCCCACAGAACAGCAGTCCTGGGCAAAGTTTTTTGTTTTTTTTTTTTTTTTTTTTTTTTTTTTTTTGTTTTTGTTTTTTTTTTTTTTTGCTAATTAACTCAAATATTAAAGTCCTTACTTTTGCCAAAAGAGATAGGGTTTCATGAAGTTCCATACACACCCCTCCTCAAAACATTCTCTTCTTTCCCAAAGCCCCTGCCTGTGGGAGACTGGGGCTCTGCTCAGAACCACAGAAGCCAGGGAGGTCCTGTCCCTTCCATCTCACAGAATTGGACAGAATTCGAATGCTGAACAGGGCAGTGACTTGCCCAAGGTCACGTGGCTGAGTTAGCTGCACAGCTCAGAATGGAGAGAAGTCAGGTCAGGTCTCTCTTTGACTGCCCCAGGCTGTCCTTCACCTGAGGGAGACTGCCAGTGACTCAGGGGAGCCCGAGAAGGAATATCTGTTCCCAGGACAAGGTAACCATTGCAGGCGAGGCCCGGGCTCCTCCTGTACTTCCTCCGGGGGCTTCTGGGGAGAGGCGGGCAGAACCTGACTGTCATGCCCTCTTCCACCCACCGTGAGGGCATGTGCTGGATTCCCGGAAAGGAGCAGGGTCAGACCAGGGGGAAGGCGGCGGGCACGCAGCCCTCTTCCACCGGATGGGAGAATCTTCTCTGAATACTTGGCACACACGGGGGTGGGGAGCCAGAAGGGGTTAAGCCCTGGTCGGGATGACTTCATGACTCGGGAATCAGGAGCTGCCGAGCTACTAGTGCTGGAACTCCAGCCCAGCCCCCGCACACAGCCCCACAGCCCCGTGCCTGTGGCTTTAGTTTGGCAGCTCCTCCGGGAGGGCTCCGAGGTGGTTGCGAAACTGTCCCTAGGGCGAGGTCCCTGCCGCAAAGCAAATTCCCCCAGGCCCAGATTCTGAGAGCAGGACCTCCTAAGCACTTAGCCTAAAGTAGGTCCTCCTGATAGATTTTTGCCCAAGGTCACATTGGTAAAAAGTGGCCATACTGGACCAGAACCCAGGCATGGGTCACCTGAGCTTTTAACCACACACACAAGAACACCTGCATGAACATACGCGTCCATAGAGTGCCTGACCACCCAAGCTAGGAGGGAGCCCTGCTGCGTGGAGGTCAAACCCAGCCCAGGAGAGAAAGAAGGTACTTCAGCCAGTGGTCAACCAAGCCTGGAGACCAGACTGGCTGTGGGAGTCTGAGCTCCAAGTCCTCAAGTCAGGGGCTGGGGTCCCAGCACTGGGTGGCTTCAGGCGGAGACCTTCCCCACCCCTGGTCCCCAGGAGTCACAGAATGTTGTTTCTACATCTTGCCTTTCTTTGGGTGTGTGAAAGTGCTAAGGGGTGCTTCAAAACAACTCCTGGGATTAGCATGCTGCCTGCCTCAGAGTTACCACTTCAGTTTCACAGTAGCTACAGGAAGGCTAAGAGAGGAGGCAGGCCCCGTCAGCACTGAAACCCAGATTCACTCCCAGTTCAGCCCTCACCAGGTTCCTGGAGAGGTTCCTGGAGAGGATACACTTGTCCAAGGTGGCACCAGGGGCACAGGAGGCATCAGACCCTGTCAGATACCTATTCCAGGGCTCAAGACTGCATTAGAGGAGCCAACGGTTCCTTCTCCAGCAAGTCACAAGTCACGAGGCCCGGGGGGCAGGGGGCATGCTCAGGGAAGGACACAAGAAAACAAAACCTTCAACTCCAGAAGCATCTTCTCTGCCCCTGACTCCTGACAAGAGAGAAATTCCCCAGTGGGAACCCTTTAAGACGAGGCCGCAAGAGAGGACCAAGCTCCATGAGACTGTGGGCAAGCATCCCTTCATGTGCAGAGGGGCAGAGGGGAGGGAATGCCAACAGCCCTCCCTTGCCTCACCCACTTTGCAGACAAGGCCCATTCAGTCAGGGTGGCTTTGAAGAAGCCACCAGGCCACCCAGTAGCCAAGCCCAGCCCTGACCAGAGAGGGACCCCACCCTGATCCCAGCCGAGCTTACCCCACCTGTTCTCCACTCACCCCATCCCTGCCGGGGGAATGTGTGTTCACGTGTGTGTGCACGCACAGGCACCCTCCCTGGGCCCTCAGGCCTCCCTTCTCCCAGAGCACAACAGAAATCACCAGCAGAATAAGGCAGTGGGCCTGGGTCTCACAGACCGTGTCTACCCCAGGGCTGGTGGACACCTGGGATGAGTGCCTGGGGACTGGGATGCTGGACGCCTCCCCAGATTATCCCCAGAAGAGGGGGCAGGTGCTGTTTTGTTCTAAAGGAACTAACACCTGCCAGTAGAAACTATCTGAGGCCACTGAGCCCAATGGTCTCATTTTATAACCCAGCAAACAAATTAAAAGACAAGGGACTTTGCCAAGGTCACCCAAACTGTTGGCAGCAGGGCTGGACTTAGAAGCTAGGTCTTCTGGCTCCAGGCTGGAGTTGTCCTCCCTCCCTGCTTCAAGGGTTTGGGCTGCAAAAGTAAGGGTCTCAGCAAACCCACAGGCTGCAGCTGTCACTCCAGTCCTTATGCTATAAGCATGAAAAGAAGCTAGGAAAAGGTCGCCAACCCCACCCCAAAGTCCTACAGCTTCCGTCACCAGGGAAAAGCACAGGGGCTGGGGTGACTAGCTCAAGTATCCACGACGTGCCAGGCACCACGCGGTGCTCTTCCCCAGGAACTCATTTTACTGGCACGAGTCTTGTAACATGTTTGCAGAAAACTGAGGTGCGGGGGAGTCATTTATCCGAAGTCACCCAACTAGAAAGCAAGAGAGCTGAGATTTGAACCTAGATCTTTCTCAAGACCACGCCTCAGCTACAACCAGACTTCTCACTGCCACCCCCGAGTCACCTCTCCACCCCAACCCCGCAGTGCCAGGCCAGGCTCCACCAAGGAGCAAACAAAGGTGAAAGTGATATTCAACAAAAGAACAAAAACTTGGCTGGGGCACCAGGGAGTTCAGGGTCAAGGCCTGGTTAACCAAGAGCTGGTGGGAGGAAAAGAGGGAGGAGAGCCCCCCACACCCACCTCCTGCCCTCAGGCTCCTCCCCAGCAGAGGTAGGGTCAGGGACACATTTGACCCTTCTTTCAGGAGGTGAGACCAGAAGGACAACTGGGCAAGCCAAATTCAACAGGGAGTGGCAAGGACACTGGACTCCAACTACTGAAGCCACCTGTTATCCGGACAGGAGATCCCCAGAAGGGGCCGTTGGTTAGTCACTGCTTTCCCCCACCCTGCCTTTTTGAAGGGCCAGATATCCCCCAGGGTGAGCAAACCCAGGAGCCACAATCAGAGCTCTACACCTCGCCAGAAACAAAGGATCCCCACCAGAAGAGTGGTTACCCACAAGCAAAGCACAGTCTGGCCATGGCCACTTCCTAACTCCAGGAACCTTGGGGTACACTGAACCCTGAACCCTTACTTTTCTCTTTTGGTAACCAGGGCTAGGAGCACCCTGCAGGACGATGACGATTAAGTGAAATGCATTAGTGTGTGCAAGGGACCCAGCATATGGCCCAGTACACAGCAGGTGCTCATTGAGTAGCAGCTATTATTAATCCCCACCTGCCTTCCTTCTGGCTAAAGGGATTAGTGGTCAAAGGGTCAGAGAGACCTGGAAAAAGCTATAGAAGCAGTTCCATTGCTAGAAAGGTGGTCAGTGGATGG